AAACCAGAAATTGAAAATTTGCTACTGTTTACTTGATTCTATCTGAAACTGATAACTTGCGTGATTTACACTAAGTTAGTGAAGAATCCATGAACGAAATTTCTTCATACTCTCATCCTGAATATTTTGGAGCAATCTTGATAATAAGAATATGTTCGAAAATCATAATCACATATTTCGAGTTGTCCTAATCAACCCATTAGGCCACTATGTCGATCAAATTTGCTCTGTTTCTTTATTATACACATACTTTCTCGACTCCATTTGATTCACTGTAACCGTACACCATCAACAGAAGCATTTATTGCTGCGAAAAATCAACAACAGTACAGCAATTAAATGCATTACGATTCAAGGATAATTTCTGCGGATTGTAAAGGCGTCTCCAGGCGTGAGATTCCTCAAGAATTCAAGCGGGACGCTAGCTAGGAGCGCTCGTAAAATCAGGACCTCGATGTGCTGCGCAAGGTCTTCGAGTCCATAGAACTGAAAGGAACGTGGATATTTCAATCGCTTCGTTTATCTCTATTGTCAGCATTTCTAAAATCTTTAGAGTTCAGACTTGCAAGAAGTTTATTTTTGCAGTTAGAAGGACCAACTTGAGCCTCGCGCTTCATCTGAGCAAGCGTACATTCGTCTTCATCGATGCTCACGCTGCCATCGCGGAGATAGATGAGTATAATATCAAAATGTCTGGGATTCCTGTTTATGAAAAATTCCTCGCCTTCCTGCAAATTCACATATATTCGACATCATTCAAACAATGCTATAGACTGGTAACTCACCACATAATTCAGATCCGCAAGTATGCTCCTGTCTCGAGGACCTGGGTTCTTCCTTAACGTCTCAAGCGATGTTTCAAATTTGGTCCCGCCGACATTCAGTACGACTGGCATGTTGAAATTAGCAGTAGGAGAGGGAGCAAGCTGTAGTCCGTGAATTACCAGCACAGAATGAGCAGACGGCTGGCCTTACGAAGTTACGTCGATTTTGGAGGTGTGACGAGGGGCGTGACCGCGATATCGCCATCTCGCTCTATGATACAGTCGTCTACCAGCGGATGCAGGTTGTCTCTCAAATTAACTGTTGATGACTAATTCAAAATTAAGAGCTTGCTTATAGAGCGAGACGAAAAATTTGAGATAAGTAAGTCAGATGCACCAGCCTGAGCTTTGTGAATGTAAATAAAACCCGGCTCAGATCAACGTGAAACGCCACGAGACTGAGAGTTGTGAGTGAGCTGAGATCAAGTTTTGTAACAGACGACTAGAG